CTCTCTCCCTCCCTCCCCCTCCTCCTCCCCTCCCCTCTGCCTCCCCCTTTCAAAGTTTTGGACTGATTTTAAGAATTTTAAGATGTCCCACAAAAATCCAGATTTTACATGTTCATACACAATTCTTAGTAAATATTTTACATCCAGAATCGAATTGAGGTACATTTCCTTATAAAAATCTTTCAGGGCTAAAAGAACATAAAATTACTGATGCTATGCCTTCATTTACCAAGGTACTATAACTACTATTCTGCCCCCACATAATGGATTTATTTGCAGTAAAATTTTGCCTTTTTAAAAAAGTGCATCCTGTCATGATCCAAAACACAACCACCACCCAAAACTTAACAAAATAATGCTCCCTTATAATGAAATATTCTGGTGTTTCTGTTCACTTTGATTTTGGTTGAATAAATTTAAAACTGAATTTTTTTCACTATTGTCACAGTCTTTACAATAAAATGTGTGAAAATGATTGTGAGGATCCAAATTTTATTCAAAAATATAAAAAAGTTTCTACCAATTGGAAATCAATTTGAGTTAATAAAACTTAGCAAAACAAAATACAGATATAAAAAGATAAATATTTTTAGTGTGTTCTAGTTGTTTATAGATACTTTTCAATAACTTCTTTACCCATTTAAGAAATTATTGTAGACAAAGATACACAAGAGTTTTTGGACTGGCCTAAAAAGTGTTGTGAAGGGGTGTGTGTTTGTGTGTGTGTGTGTGTGTGTAAGTGTTTCTGGGAATTGAACCCAAGGAATACTAAACTACATCCCCAACACTTAATTCTCATAGGGTGAAACCTTGTTGCATAGGCTGGGCAAAAACTTACCACCCACTGGCCTCTGCCTCCTGAGTGGCCACAGTGTTTTGTTTTTTTTTTTTTAAGCTACGTAAGTGAAGTTTAAAGTTAGCTGGCACTTGCAAACTGGTTTAAAAAAAAAATAGAACTGAACTTCCTCAATATGATAAGAGCTATTTGTAAGAGCCCCCAGCTCCATGTCACCAACAAAGACAGCTTCCTCTAAAAATTAGGACAAGGTAAAGATGTTGGTTCTCACCCCTCCTATTCAACACTGAACAGAGGTGGTACTGCCAAAGCTATTAGGCAGAAATATCAAAAAGCATCTAGACTGAAAAGGAAGAAGTAAACTATTTGCAAATGAAATCCTGTATGAAGAAAATTCTAAGGAATCCACCATTGAAACTTCTGTTCAAGTAAGTTCACCAAGTTTACAGAACACAATATAGTATCCAAAAGTCAGCTGTGGGAGACAAGGGCAGAGGCAGGAAATGGACAATAAAAATAACAGATGTGAGGTTAGATATAGATATATATACCAGTTCCCCAAAATGAATGTAATCTGTATCACAAGCACATGCTAATGAAAGACATCTGTTATTTCTACACAATAGTCATGAACAATGTGAAACTGAAATTGAGCAATTCCATTTATAATAACATCAAAAGAATTTTTAAAGACATAGTGCAAACACCAAAAAACTAAAGTTTTGTTTTGTTTGAGACAATATCACTATATGTAGTTCATGTTGAATTATATAGCCCAGGGCAGCCTTAAACTTGTGATCTTCCTGTTTCAGCCACCGAAATGCTAGGAATGTAGGCATATGTGACCACACCTGGCCTAAAGATCAAAATAAATGGGAAGGCACCCACCAATGTTCATAGATTGAAAGGCTTAAGATGACAATGCTCTCCAACTAGATCTACAGACTCCACATCATCCCTATCACAATCCTTTTTTCTTTCCTTTTAGAAACTGATCAGCTGATCTTTATATGGAAGCACAAGGGACCCAGAAAATACTATTCATTGGTGGAAAAGAACAACAACAACAAAAAAAGGTTCATACTACCAAGTTCCAATACTTATTACAAAGCTTCATTGATCAAGATAGTATGATACTGCCATCAGAATAGACACAACCAATAGTCTAGAAATGGGCCCTCTGATTTTCAATAAGGGTGGGGGAAAGAATTGTCTTTTCAACAAATGATGCTGGGAGAAGTGGATATCAACATGCAAAAACAGAAATTGGACACCCTACCACAAATCACACAAAGATTAACTCAAAATGGATCACAACTTTACCCACTATACTGATTGATGAGGCTAGGGACACAGTTGCAAGGGAAATCTAGACTTCATGAAGGAATCATTGAGCCTACTTGAGGACTTTACTTCTTTAAAGTTTGCCTAGAGGAGAATAAGAGAAAGGCCCAGGACGGACACACACACACACACACACACACACACACACAAACACACACAAACACACACTACTCCTGAGTATAGCATCTCCTGCCTCAGGTACACTGAAGCAGAAGCCCAATCAGCCTGGCTGCCTATCACTGGATTAGAGCCCCGAACAACTGTTACTGTATGAGAGCTCTCAGCTGAAGAAAAAGCACCTAAATTTGCCTTAGGGTCTCTGGTACACTCATGCCTGCCAGTCTGGACAGCTTGCCCCAGTCACCTGCAGGGGCTCTGGGCTTGCTCCAAAAGTCCTCTCACTGCTCAGAGGCTTGTGGGCATCTGTGTCAGAGCTGAAAAACACCTCTAGGTAAAGAAAACAGCTTTCACTTCTGAGGGTAATGTTAATACTCTCTTTCCACAGGGGATGTTTAACTGTACCAGTTTCTTTTCAGAAAGTAAGTGCCTGAAAGTTTTTGTAAGGTTCAACTTCCTTCTCTTGCTAAGATGACAAAAATACGTAATTACTGTATTAAGTAAAAATATATGAAATAAAATACTTTCACAGGTCTTCCAGTATCCTATCAATAGCTCAGCTGGGCTACTTTATTATGCACCCAATTCCTGATGGCCATGAGCTGCTGTCTGAACACCAGCTTGCTCTCTGGGAGAAAAGGGGGTAAACAGGGTGAAGCCCCAGGGTCTCCCCACATGCATACACTGGCAGATGACAGAGGAAATGGCTAAGTGTTGTCCTAAGTACTTTTAAATAACACATTTTGAGAATAACTCAGCAAGAACCCACGTAACCTTTTTTTGAGCAGCTCCTACCTTGACCACCAGTGTCTAAATAGTGGTACGTATCCACCAGAAAAGCTTTAACAAAGAGCAGCCACTGTTTGAAGGCAGCAGATGAAAGCAAAGACACAGAGCATTCGCACTCCACAATGAACATGTTTATTCAAACATTCCAGAAGCCTAGAGTTCTCCAGCCATGTCACACTGCACTATGGTAACTGCAATTCATTCTCCTTCCAGAATACACATTGAGAATTCAGGTTTGGAATAACACCATGTAACCACTTCTGGATATATTACACTATACAGCTCCCATTAACTTTTTTAAAAAATCAACTTCAAGTCAACACTAAGTCACAGATAACACCATTTGCTCAGACCTTGGACAGCCACACAACAGCAAGGTTAGCTTCAGAAGTAACCAGTATATAGGATGCATATTATAAAAAAGCAACAAAAATTTAAACATTTCACAAATACATGCAAGATGCCTGTACCCCTAAATACCTGTGAACGATGCCACTGCCTGAAAGGACTTGCCTTACTTTGAATGTAAGGGACTCACCATCCATTACATAAGCCAAGAAGGAGTCTACTGTGTCCAAGTGTTAAAATTAAGGTCACTGCTAAATACACTTTTTTTTTTTGCCACGCTGGGGCTAGAAGCCAGGGGCTCATGCATGCTCAGTGTACTCTACACTGAGCTATACTCTGCCTTTTTTGAGAATGTCTTGCTGATTTGCCCAGGCTGGCCTCAAAGTCCCCTGCTTTAGCCTCTCAGGTGTGCATCACCACAAGCAGTTTAAGGACTTTATACCATCGTGGCCTCTCCACAGCTCAGCAGCCCCTAAAAGCAGCACAGTCTCCAGGAGCCTTCTCTGAGGGTGGCTGCTTTTACTGGAGGCTGTGCTCCTAAGGCTCTAAAGGCAGAGAAGGGCAGCTTCAGCAGCCTCATTTCTTCTGTGGGAAGAAGCTGTACTTTGTAGGGTTGAACTCTTCCCAGATGCGTTCAAACTCCTCCAGGAACAGCCGCACATACTCGGCATCCTCCATGATCAGCACATTCTCTCTGTTGTTCTGGATGGCCTGGGTGGTCCAGTTGAGGGAGCCAGTGATGAGCACTTTCTTGTCCACAATGGCAAACTTGTGATGCATGTAGCCCAGGTCCTGGTCATGCCGCACCTGAATACCTGTGGGGCCAAGGTAGTTTTTTTCACTAGCTTGCCACGCATGGCAGGCACCCATTCTCAGGAATTGCTCATGCTGCTACTGTTTCTAGTCAGCAGGACAGCCAGCTGCCTAAGGATCATCCAGATGGCACATGCCACAGGGCTAGCCAGCCAAGGAGGAGCAGGTGTCCTGATGGGATGGACAGAAGAGAACACAGGCAACGCCACTCTGGACACCTGTCACTTCATCCCAGGCATCAGCCCAAGCCAAGCCAACCCCACACCAGGTCTGAGGTCTAAACCAACCAGGATGGTCTTCAGGGCACACTCTAGGCCAGGCATACCTAGCAGAGTGTGGCAGCATCTCCTTGCCTTTCCACTGTTTTCCATGGCCATCCTTCCTCAGCCAGAAGGGACAAGCTGAGGACAGAGAAGCTTAGATGGAGATTAGCACATGGCTACTAACCTCTACCAAAACATCCAAGCGTGGCTCTGGTATTCTGAAGGGGAAGCAGAAGAGCTCTCTTGCCTTCCACCACAGTGCCCACCCCAGCCCCCAAACATACACCCAAAGGTAGAGACCCTGTCTCCAGGATGCCACCTGGTGACAGCATCATGTGCCCACAGACAGAGACCATTAGAAATGGACCTAAGAGGGCAGGGCTGTAGCTGAGAGGCACTGTGCCATCCTGGCAAGCGCAAGGTCCTGTGTTGGATTCCTGGTAGAAAGGGAGGGAGGGAGAGAGGGAAGGAGGGAAAGGAAGGATGGGACTTATGAGAATTTAAAATGAGCTGCTGTGGAACTGGGTCAACAGATTTCACCAAACAAAAACAAGTTAAACTGAGATGAACAAGGAGCAAATTTGGAAGATCTGTATGTCCCACAGAGAGTACTTGTGACACATTACTCCTTCGTGTGAAATTCAACTGTACAGCCCGTGTCATCCCTCCCAGCCCTCCTTGGAAAGTAGTGACTTCCTCATCACTGAGGATTCTATCTAACACTTTTCCTTGAATCAAGGGACAAATATACCAGCAAATCCTGTCAGCTCTACCTTCAAAACAGATCTGAATTCCAACCCTCTGGAGGGCCTCAATCCCAGCCAGCTCCATCCTCTGCCACCCACTTCTTGCCTCTCAGCTCTGTAGGTCACTCCAGCCTCCGGACGCCGGGCTCCCGCCCAAGCACCATGACTGCTACTTCCCACCCGGGGCGGCAGAAGGCCTCTTACTATTCCCCTGTGATACTCATCTGTGACTGAGGGCATCTGTGCTCGCCGCCCCTTCCGGAGCCTCACTCGGTTGCTAAGGTCATGGCCAGCCACATCCTCTATACCCAAGTCTTCCAAATTCCTCGAATATTCATGACCCAGCGGGCTTCCTCACTACTGTGTCTCACACACGGACTTCGCGCGGCACACAAGACAGAAGGCATGTGCTGACCTGTGCAGCCCACTCACCTGCCTTGCGCAGCAGGCCTATCTGCGAGCCGTTGAGCGCCATGTAGTCGCAGTCGGTGACGACGCGCACACGCACCCCGCGCTGGTGCAGCAGCTGTACAGCTCGCCCCAGCTGCGGGTTGGAGAAGGCGAAGAGGCAGAGCTCCAGGCTGACGCGCGCGGCCAGCAGGGCGCGCAGCAGGCGGCTCAGGGAGCTCTCAGAGTGCGGGAGGCTGCACTGGCAATCCGCACG